GCTGCCCGCTAACTCTTAGTTGGAAGGCAGAAATGTCCGAGACCTGCCGTCCGCTAAGATCTTCTTCCTGGTTTTCCGTGTGTTGCTTCGCTGGCTGAAGAAAAAGAGGAGCCGAGCCACGGACTCGCAAGCTATTTATGCGGTCTAGAGTGGGGCCCACATAGTATGTGGGCGTGGACTAGTATTTTTCAGTGTTAGCGTGATGCGTGCGAGGGGGTACCCACTAGGGCGTGGCTTAAAGGGCAAGCCCACAAGAAATAAAACTGCTGGCACCAACGTTCTGTTTGAAAACAACATCCCTTTGGTTTTATCAACATTTAGCACCAGTTTGAGATGGAATAGGTCTGTCTGAATGATGTCAAATGCAGACTGTAGACGCTGGTAAACCTTGGCAACTGTGTTAGCTCAACAATAAACAATTGTATCATCAGCATAGAGATGCAAGGATGCATCAGGAATGTTTTGACCTACATTACTTATATAAATTGTAAAAAGAGCAGGTCCTAAAACCGAGCCTTGTGGCACACCATTAGTGACTGTTAGGCAGCTAGACGAAGCACCATTACGTTGAATACATTGCTTCCGACCTGAGAGATAGTTTGTAACTTCAGTCATCATACATTAAGACAAAACATAAAGTTTACTAACAATAGAAATGTTTGTTGTTGTTTTAGCTCTGCGGAACAATTTGATCCAGACTGAGGAACGGTGTTCTGAGAATGAACAGAAGATTAAAGGTGAGTTATATGATCACCTGACACATGCCAATACGTTTCAGATAGGAGGTGTTTGTTTTTTTATCAAGACTTGGGTTTCATGTGTTTTTATAGACCTGCAGAATCATTTGGATTCCAAGACGGATGAGCTGAACTCCAAGTCTGACAACGTCACTTCACTTCGTGAGTGATGAAGCTTTTGTTAGCATTTAGCTCTAATTGCATTATATATAATGGTTTGAGCAAAAGGGGCAGCACGGTGGCGCAACTGGTAGAGCTGCTGCCTCTCATCGAGCAGGTCCTTGGTTCAAACCCCAGTCCAGGGGCCTTTCTGGGTGGAGTTTGCATGTTCTCTCTGTGCATGAGTGGGTTTTCTCCAGGTGCTCCGGTTTCCTCCCACAGACCAAAAACATGCACATGTTAGGCTGATTGGTAACTCTAAATTGTCCCTAGGTGCGAGTGAGCGAGTGAATGGTTGTTTGTCTCGTTTGTCTCTATGTGGCCCTGTGATGGACTTGCGACCCGTCCAGGGTGTACCCCGCCCCTCGCACAGTGATTGCTGGACATGGGCACCGGCGACCCCCGTGACCCAAAATGGAATAAGCGGGTAAAGATAATGGATGGATGGATGGATGGATGGATGGATGGATGGATGGTTTGAGCAAAAGGAAAATGACAATTTGAAGTTGGGTTTTGTTGTGAAAAAAACATCCTTGTTGACATCCTCAGACTGCAAAAACAAAAAGATAAAAAAACCAAAAAAGAGTTAATAAGATTATCATTTTAAACAAAAAAAAAGTTAATTATATCACAATACAATAACCTTACCTCTTCTTGCATGGTCATCATTTATGTGATGAGGTGGTTGAATATTCTCTCGTTCATCATCATCAGGGCAGGGCTTTAATCTGGTCCAGGGCTTGTTGACAATATCAGTTTTAGCTTTTTCATGAAGTGCTGCAACAACTTTTTGCCTGAAGTGTTGACGTGATGAGATGTTGTAGGCAGCGGGGCTCAAGAACTTTAAAGTCGGTGCATTCAGCAACATAGATCCAGAGCTTTAATAACTTCTACAGCTTGTGTTATTGCTTTGGACCGATATGAATTACCTGATAAAGGTTGTTTAAATGCTGCTGTTATCGGTCTTTGCACAAACCAAGCTGTTATTCTTGTAGTAGTCACGTACGTACGTGCCACTAGTTGTAGTATGACAATATATGAGATATATATGCATACAATATTCACGAGTTCCTCATCTTTCTGACTGTGTAAGGTCGTGCATTGAATTTAACAGAAATGTAACGAGAGACGTTATTTATCTTTGACCCATCAAATCAATGCGGTCATTTATTTTCAGAATCAAAGTTTAACATCAAACATTTACATTAATTTGGCAAAATATGAAAATAATAACAGACAAGTTTCACAGAAAAGGGACATCGATCACTCGGCGGTGAACGAGGACTTTGCTTCAGATATTTCTAAAATATCTGTACTGATTTTATGAGAAAGAGGAGAGTTTCAAGATGAAATGGAGTTATCTTACAGAGAGATATGTGAGGGAATTAATCTGTTTGACCAGAAATTGCACGCTCCATCAGATATCAGCTTGCCCACGGTACACTTGGTCGAAAATAGAACCCTCTACCTGTTGATGATCTTATCAGCGTCGGAGCAGGTTCCTTTCTGACTCTTTTCAGCGTCTCCGTGAGAACTGCCAAACCCTCAGAGAGTCGTACGTGGTGTTCAAACAGAAATTATAATCCCAAAACGTCTCTGGATCATCCTGAACGCGTTTGCACCCAAGAACTCTGAACTCCTTTCATTCTTCAGAACTTCTCAGACTCTAACAGAATCTTTCAACTCCAGCAACTCTCTAGTTCTTCATCTCCTCAGCCTCTGGAATTCTCTGGAATTCTCCTGAATTCTAACATGAACTGGGAAGTTGCCACATTTTAAATGGGTCGACTTCCGGTTCATTTGAGAGCTTTTGATTGGTCGATGGACCAGGAAGAGGTGTGGTTTTTGACGTAAGATGTTATCAAAAGTCGAGGTCAGAGAATGAGTTTGTTTTCAACATACAGAAAAGATTATTGCAGAATACCAGACTTTGTGGAGCCTCGCTCTGTTATATCTTCTCAAATAGTAAAACATGACATCCCTTCTTCAGTAAACATTTAGTTGACCGAAGCTTCAACTTTCACATACTTACGAAAGCTTGTTCATTGAAGACAGAAATCAAGAAATGCATATTAACCTGATTTCTTCTTTGAATGAGGAATAAAAATCATTACTTACTGTTTATGTAAAATAAAAATGAGTAGTTCTTTTCAACCTGTAACATTGAGTGAACTAACACCATTTGATTATCAAACATTTGTAAACAGTGATGATCATAGAGAATTGTCTTTTCTGCTTGATTAATTCAAGAAAGAAAGTCATCAGATGGCTCAGACTGTATTCAGATCAATGAAATAACAGTCCCTGTCCATCTGATAGATTTGAGGTCATCAGGGTCAGATCAGGGTCAGACCAGGTTCACTACATTCTGTAGAAGAGACGTTCACGTTCGGATGATGTTGTTTCAAGTGCATTAACAAGTTAGATGTGTTGCCTGCTGCAGATCCAATCTTCGTGAAACAACGTCGACACACAGCTTTGGATTTACACTTGTCTTTTAACAAGAAATTCATAATGTTCCCAAACTGGAGACTGCAACGAGATGAAAGGGTCTTAAAGTTCAGGCTTGTTCGTTACCTGCTAGGCTGCTAATGCTACGCATGCTGCAAGACTGCAACAATAAATAGCACCGTGCTGAAACACGCCTAGTTCCGCGGCACATAATTTCTCACTAATAAAATTTAATGAGTGAAAAAATAACCGAAACGGTACGCACGTGGACCAAACATGACATACTGAAATGGTTCAATACACCCACATGTACCGTTACACCATTTGTCTGTCTAAAATCGGTCTCATTTGTAAATGGGTCTCCGAGGTTCAATGCGTGTAATCTGTATAAATAAAGGTGGAATGAAAATTCATACTCCACCCAGAAAGGCCCCCAGCCAGGATGTGATCCAGCAACCTGCTCGCTGAGAGGCGGCAGCACCACCATGCTGCCCACCATTCATTTCCATAATTTAGTATTATTTCCAATAAAATACTTTCTTACTGCACTTTGCGTACGACTGAAGTTTACAGATATTACCTGAGTGTTCATGTTTGTTGCACAGTAAACAAACCAGTTTGAATTCTTCCAGTTCCTAAAACAAAGCAAACTGAAGCAGTTTTTAGTGTATATCTTAGATCTTTTTATACTGATTCTTTTTATAATTTATATTTTTTCTATTGTTGGGTGTAACTGGAACCTTGAATACATAATTTCTTTCCACCTCATGTACCACATGTAGTGAGGATGACAATAAACCTATTTGAACTTGAACTTTTTAAAACCTGTTCTCAGGAATTTTAATATTCGGCTCTTCTTCTGTCAGACTTAAAAGAAATGGAGGAGCTGAAAATGTGCTGCTCTGTGACCTCACACTGTGAAGGTAAGATCTCAGAATCACCTGATGGCTGCAGTGAGTTTAGGATCCATGATCTTTGATGTTTGTTCTTTGAAACAGACCTACAGCGACAGCTGCAGCAGAGCCGTGAGGCTGCAGATAATTTCCATTACCTGCTGCAAGTGAAGGAAGCTGCTCTGAACGATCTGAAGCAGGACTTTCATGAACAAGAGCAAGAGAAGAACAAACTGCAGGAAGACTACATGAGTATGTTCAACTCTATGATGGTGCTCGTATAGAAAACAGAAAAAAACAGACTTCCTGTTGGGATTATTTTATAACACGAGTAAATGTGTCTCGACTTGCTGAAAAAAATAGATTTAACTTGTTTAAGGCTTATTTTTGACTAATGTCTGAATAAATTTGCTTTGCCAGATGTTCTGAAGAAACTAAATGACATGGCAGAAAAGACGATCCAAACCAGTGAGTAACATAATACGTGTATGTTTTTTTATTAATGATCCAAATTTTAACCATAAACATTCAAAACTGGAAATATGTCATGATCTTCACCAGAGGTCGGCAACATTTACAACGGAAAAATGTTTTTCTATTTGTCCTAGTAAATAGAATTAGTAAAAATCAAAATGAACTTGGAAAGAAAACATACAATGATTTTTAAACCCTCCTGTTGTGTTCATTCCTTGTTGAATGACCACCTCAGTATATCTACAATAAATCAAATCTTCACCTAATATTATGATAAGTAGAATTAACAATGTGCACTCTTATTATTAGATCCTCTGGTTTTGTTGTTTGGTCCACAGACCTTTGATGTACAGTATGTGGGATCAGAAAACAGGACTCAGGACTTCAGGAAGGACTTGCAAAGTCTTGTTCTCTTTTTTGGACCATGTGAAGACTTGTGATGCATTCAGTTGCAACATGTAAATTCAAATATCCTCACAGCAATTGAAGTTGCTCTAACAAATGAAGGTTAAATATCACATTTAGATTTAGGTTGAAGGTGGCACGGTGGCGCAGTTGGTTGAGCTGTTGCCTCTCAGTGAGAAGGTTGCCAGGCCTTTCTGGGTGTAGTTTGCATGTTCTCTCCATGCTGCATGAGTTTTCTCCCACAGACCAAAAACATGTATGTTAAGCTGATTGATAACTCTAAATTGTCCCTAGGTGTGAGTGAGCAAGTGAATGGTTGTTTGTTTCATTTGTCTCTGTGTCCCTGTGATGGACTGGAGACCTGTCCAGGATGTCATTTGCCTCTCGCACAGTGATGGCTGGACATGGGCACCAGTGACTCAAAAAGGAAGAAGCGGATAAAGATAATGGATGGATAGATGTTCATTGATAATTTTCAACATTAAAGATGTTTTGGTTTCATCATATGATGACATTTTACAGAGCCAGTAAATTCTTTGCGTTTCTGTAAATTTTTTTCCATCCATCCATCCATTTTCTTCCGCTTATCCGGGGTTGGGTCTCGGGGGTAGCAGCCTAAGTAAGGAGGCCCAGACTTCCCTCTCCCCAGCCACTTGGGCCAGCTCCTCCGGGGGAATCCCGAGGCGTTCCCAGGCCAGCCGAGAAACATAGTCCCTCCAGCGTGTCCTGGGTCTTCCTCTGGGTCTCCTCCCGGTGGGACGTGTCCGGAACACCTCACCAGGGAGGCGTCCAGGAGGCATCCTAAACAGATGCCCAAGCCACCTCAACTGGCTCCTCTCGACGTGGAGAAGCAGCGGCTCTACTCTGAGTCCCTCCCGGATGATCGAGCTTCTCACCCTATCTCTAAGGGAGAGCCCAGACACCCTGTGGAAAAAACTCATTTCGGCCGCTTGTATCCGAGATCTCGTTCTTTCGGTCACAACCAAAAGCTCATGACCATAGATGAGGGTAGGAACGTAGATCGATCGGTAAATTGAGAGCTTCGCCTTTTGACTCAGCTCTCTCTTCACCACGACAGACATGTACAGCGCCTGCTTCACTGCAGATGCTGCACCTATCCGCCTATCAATCTCGCGTTCCATTTTTCCCTCATTCGTGAACAAGACCCCAAGATACTTGAACTCCTCCACTTGGGGCAGGACCTCCTCCCTGATCCGGAGAGGGCACTCTACCCTTTTCTGGCTCAAGAGCATGGCCTCGTATTTGGAGGAACTGATCCTCATCCCGGCCGTGTCGCACTCGGCTGCGAACCGCTTCAGCGAAAGCTGTAGATCACAATCTGATGAAGCCAATAGGACCACATCATCTACAAAAAGCAGAGATGCAATCCTAAGGCCACCAAAACGGATCCCCTCAACACCTTGGCTGCACCTAGAAATTCTGTCCATAAAAGTTATGAACAGAATCTGTGACAAAGGGCAACCTTGGCGGAGTACAACTCTCACAGAGAACAAGCCCAACTTACTGGCAATGCAGACCATGCTCTAACACCGGTCATACAGGGACCTAACAGCCCGTATCAAAGGGCCCGGTACCCCATACTCCCAGAGTACCTCCCACAGGGTTCCCCGAGGGATGCGGTTGAACGCCTTCTCCAAGTCCACAAAGCACATGTAGACCAGTTGGGCAAACTCCCACGCACCCTCCAGGACCCTGCTGAGAGTGTAGAGCTGGTCCATTGTTCCACGACCAGGACAAAAACCGCACTGCTCTTCCTGAATCCGAGGTTCAACTATCCGACAGACCCTCCTCTCCAGAACCCCTGAATAGACCTTACCAGGGAGGCCTAAGAGCGTGATCCCCCTGTAGTTGGAACACACTCTACGGTCCCCCTTTTTGAATAGGGGGACCACCACCCCGGTCTGCCAATCCGGGGGAACTTCCCCCGATGTCCACACAATATTGCAGAGTCGCGTAAGCCAACACAACCCTACAACATCCAGAGCCTTAAGGAACTCCGGGCGAATCTCATCCACCCCTGGAGTCCTGCCACCGAGGAGCTTTTTAACCTCCTCGGTAACCTCAACACCAGAGATTGGAGGGCCCGACCCAGAGTCCCCAGGCTCCGCTTCCTTAGTGGAAGACGTGCCAATGGGATTGAGGAGGTCTTCAAAGTACTCTGCCCACCAACCCACGACATCCCGAGTTGAGGTCAACAGCACACCACCCCCACTATAAACAGTGTTGATGGCGTAC